ACACTTCTCCCCTTAAACTTGTGATTGACTTGACTATAAAAAGTGGATGAAACTGTAAATCACGAGACGTATTGTAAAATGTACTTCTGTCTTCCGTAATGAAGCAGTCATTATGATTATTTTATAGGACTGAAGTTTTTAAAAACTACAAGAATGCATTACTCTGCATAATGAACAGATGTTGTGGCAACAAGCACATACATTATGCATAAAAAATTATTTCAATTTTGATTGTAGACGCTGATTTATTGAGACAAGTCTAGCTTACAACAGTAATGGATTTAGGATGTGCTTTTGTTGTGTTATTTCCATAATTAATAATAGGGAGGCAGCACATTATATATGCTTTGTATTCATAAAGATGAGAGGGCTTGAGTTATAACAGATAAAATACTGCTTGCTGAACTTTAAAACGACACCAGATTAATTATACATAAAACTAAACTCTTTTGAATGAAAAATAAGAGAAAATTCCCTTAATGCCATACTGCTTGTTGTCTGTGTTTTGATATGTTGAAAGAGAATAACTCAAGTAGATAACATAAAAGGAAGTAAGGAAGATAATTATTCCAGCATGATGCACTGTACTGCACAATGACTCAAAAGGAAGCCAGGCTGCTTCATATACTATATCTTTATTCTTCACTGTCAACATCAGGAAGCACTCGACTGAATGGAAATACAGTGAGAGAGCAGATGTATCCCACTCTGGTTAAGTGTAGGTTGAATATTTTCAAATGCTCAGTTGTTAAGATTTAGAAACAAACTGTGTGTCGTCTCTGTGTTGGCTGTTATCATATGTCTGCATCAGAAGTCACCTACATGTGGACAACCCTGTCTGTATTCTCTGTACATGTATATGCCCTCTGATCCTGTATAAGGATATAGTATAGTCTATTTTTTGTTATTTCTACAAACTGTAAAAAAGTCAACTGCAGTAAATAGTCTCTTTATTTTGTATGAATGTAAAGCTTAGAAAAAAAGCATTATTTAGTACTTCTCAGTAAGTTTAATACAAAACAGCAGTACCTATTTAATTTAGGAAATTACTTTTTTTTATGTTGGTACCTCTTCTTACGTAATTTTAACATCCTTTAAAGGTAGGGTAGGTAAGTTTGAGAAACCGGCTCGAGATCGCTAGAATTTGAAAATACACAACCGGAGAAAATCTGCCACTTCCTTATAGAGCCCCTCCTCCAACACACACGAACGCGCACATGACCAATGAGGGCACGAGATAAGTTTGTGCACAGATGGAAGGCTGACAGGCAGGTAGGCCAAAAGTACGACCAATCATTTTAGCCGGCCCGGCTAAAATGATTGGTCGTACTTTTTACAGTACTACGGCTTCCACAGATGACATTTTTTTATGGATTTTTTGTCAAAGCACTTCAGATATTCATTGCTATCGGGATGTTAAGAGCGTTCCATGTAATATAACAAAAAGTGTATCTCGAGCCGGTTTCTCAAACTTACCTACCCTACCTTTAAGTAGGATACAATAACACTTGATGAGAGTACAAGGGAGTAAGAAAGTTCTGAAGAATATTGAAATACAGCTAGGAAGATGATGCCCTTCTTAGAGTGTTTCAAATGAAAGAGTGACATAACTGAATGCATATTTGATGACAGTTTTGTTAGACAGTCTGGGCTTGATTTGATTAAAGCTTATGCTCTTGTTTTTATTTTATGATCGAAATTGTCACACCAAAACATTCCTTTACTAGTTCCTTCTCTGAATCAACATTTTTGACCAATAATGCTGAATCTCTCAATGCTAAAAACACTAAACCCATGATAACCCATTTCAAATCATAATTAAAACCACAAAGTTAAGCATTGTATCCATCATATGAGAGCGGACAACAATGACTGGCTAGTATCCAATTTGTAATCAAAGTAATATCAGCCTGATAAATAATACTTATATATGCTGCATATGATGAAATCTGATGTTCCTGAGCTTTTCATTCGTGGTGCACAAATGATGAATTGCATAATTTGAATGGTAAATCTTGAATGGGGAAATTAATTTGCCTTACTATAATGTTTTTTATCTAAATATGTCCATGTGGCTCCTCATCCTCAAAGTGCTACAGATGACCTGATGTGACCCCGTTGTCACTGTTTCGCTGCTGGACACTCAGATGCAGATGTCTTCCAGACGGAGCACAACCTGGTGGAACAAGTCCAAGGTCTGGTACGCAAGGAGGTACATGAAGTGGGACCGCGTTTGGCTCCACACAGTAGAATTAATGATTTGAAGACACATAGTTGGTGAATAATTGATTCCAGCCCCGAGGATGGTTAGGGGCTGAGTAAAAGACTAATAAATCATTTGTGGTGCTGCCAGTTGTCACTTTCAATTATTTCTGGGTTTGTGATAAACTGCTGCACCTGCCAGCTGCTGGTCCCACGATTCCTTGGAGCAGAAAGTGACGACTTTACCCAAACTTTGCTCTGCCACGCCTGATACAAACATCTACCCTTTACAGGCACAGTGTGGAAAACAAATGGGTGAAATAGAGCGAAATATATACTTATCAAAACCATTTTTTACAACAGCACAGTAGGGCATGATATTAAAGGGGCCCTATAATGCTAATCTTCAGGTTCATATTTGTATGTTGGGTCTCTTCTGTGACCTAAACCTCAACTGTGTTTACATGCTTTAATGTTCAGAAAGTGATATATTTTGGAGCGATAGTCAATAAAAGCGCAAGTGTTAAATATTGATGTCACCAAGGTTCAAGGTTCTTTATTGTCAATCTGACATAGCTACAGAGTAATTATGCAGTTGAAAATCTTATGTCACAGGCTTCTCCAACAATGCAACATAATAACATAACATAATAACAATAAGAGCAAGAGCAATACAAAAATAATAATAGTTATAAAAATGAAATAAAGTTATGATGTGGAATAGTGCAGTACGACCATGTTACGGAGGTGAACAACAGAGTCCAATCGATGCATTTTTGGGAGGGGATGTGTGTGTGTGGGAGAGACACTCTCTTGAGGGAACTTCTGGATTTTAGCCTTTGCAGACCCTTTACATGCACACAAATGTATACACCCTACAGGGAAGGGAAACAACAAAAAGCACAATAGGACCTCTTTATGTGTTTAGCTCTGATTTACCCAGATCAATAGGAGGTCTAATAAACTATTCAAACTAATTTGGAAATGTAAATACATACATCATTCACTGATCCTGATCTGGAATATATACGATTCACTCAAAGAAGGAAAAGAAAACCTCTTTTTGCCTGGATTGATAGAGGAGTGATCACATTCTTCTGTCCATATACAATTGTGTATCTGATTCACTTCTTGTGTTTGACAAACATTCCTCTGTAGCAGCTGCAATCAAACACTAGTCCAAAAGTATTTGTAATAAAGATGTTTAGTGGATTTTATTTGCCAATGACGGAGTTGGAGAACGTAAAGGTGGGGTAGGTAATTTTGTAGAAACCAGCTCGAGTGCGCTAGAATTTGAAAATACACAGCCGGAAAAAATCTGCCACTTCCTTACAGAGCCCCTCCTCCAACACACACGAACGCGCACATGACCAATGAGGGCACGAGATAAGTTTGTGCACAGATGGAAGGCTGACAGGCAGGTAGGCCATCCAGTTATTTTAGCCGGGCCGGCTAAAATGATTGGATGTGCTTTTTACAGTATTACGGCTTCCACAGATGACATTTTTGTATGGATTTTTTGTCAAAGCATTTCATATATTCATTGCTATCGGGATGTTAAGAGCATTCCATGGAATATAACAAAAAGTGTATCTCGAGCCGGTTTCTCAAGCTTACCTACCCACCTTTAAGTACTGTATATGCAAAACTGGATGAAATAAGAAAATAAGGCACAATAGTGTCACATTTCGCATGTTATGATGTTGTCGTTCCCTTTCTCCGTCTGTCTATCTTGATTGATTGACTGAATGGCAGATGGATGGAAGCAGATTGATTGATTGAGCGGTTTTAAGAGCTTGCTGTAATGGAAATGTGATAATCTTCTAAATAAATAAATAAAATCAGGTCTGTCAAACCCTCCCACATCTGACAAGTATAAATCTAACTGATTAACACCGTTGTACATTCACATTTCACTTGCTGTTTGCTGTTTATTTGAATATAACAGATTGCATATTGTAGCATTATGAGAATGTGTCTCAAGGTGTAAAGATGTCTTTTTAATTCGCTGCTGCTGTAACACATTGCCATTGTTAACATATGTGAGACTTGTAAAAAATGCTGGTGTTTTGTCACTTGTTTAAATGAGCCTAATGCACAATGTACTACATGGAAGACCTTGTCAAGTGAATAATTACAGTTACGGATCACAAGGTACTGCAGGCCTTCTCCCGGGAGCGAGGCTTGTCGAGGTAAACTAGGTGTAGCGCGCAGTTCATGCTGTTTGAATAAGGAGTTTTAAAAAAACCTCAATTGTACGAACAAATGTTTCTATCCTGAAAGTAATTTGATCAATGTTAGTCTCTAATAGTAATTCCACATGGGGCTAGTCCAATCTGTGAACAATCAGTGATTTGTAATTACAATCAGTGGTTAGGGATTTTCTTTCTTTGCTTTGGAACAAACTTTTTCTACAAAATCATTATTCCTCTAAACACTGTGAAATACTCTCAGACTATACCTTTTATTTCACAGCAGTTAAGGAATTTATCACTGCTTCCACATTGAAATGTACCTATTTAAATATTGGTTAACCTGCACAATTAAAGAATAAAACTGCTCTGCTATAATGTTTCTTATTGTCGTAAAGGTTTAAAAAAAAAAAAGACATGTTCTAACATTATTGTCATAGTTAGTACAAATAGCATCGATGTAATGTAGAGCAGATTATTGTTTATGGAGATATAGAGTTACAAAATTGGTGTGTACATGTTGTTAAGTTGAGCTCCTTAGCTGTAATGTTGGTAGGTGAGACTTTTAGCCAGGCAAATCTGAGGACACCTTTGTCACTGGAGCTAGCCACTTGTTACACCTGCAGGCAATGAACTGATTGGCACTTCCTTGTTTGTGACAGCGTTAAAGACTGAGCCCTGAAGTTAGGTGAGTCATAGCTGAAATGTTTGTATTATTAAATATAAACTGAAAGTGAAGTGCTCTTTACTGGTTTGCAAAAATATTTCTCCTTAGTGTTTTTATCTTCTGTTGCTATGTTTTCCCCCTTTACACTAGTTGTTAAGATATTATCAACAAATCCCATGAAAAGTGATCCTTAAAAAATATAATTTGTCTCACCTTTAACATAAACCAACTAAAAACACCAACAAGCCACACGGTTGGACTAGGTTTTGATGTTACTTCATTACAATGAACATTAGTGTTGTTGTTTATTTGTTGAGTCAATCCCAGATTAAATATCCTCTTGCTAAAATACCCTCACCAGTGTATAAATCTGCAGGTACAGTAAAAGAACACCCCAGCAAATGCACCTTTTCCTCCAATTTGTGTGTTATTTGCCAAGTATTACTATCCAGCTGTTTACTAATTGCAGTTTTTAAATATATGAAACATATATATTACTTTTGACTGAGTGCAGAACAGGGAAGTCAGACTATAGACTGTCCTCATTTTCAAGGGATTGTTGACATAAGAAGACGAGTGTGAATGGAACATGTCTAGAGAAAACACCAGATTTGTCTCATAAAGTGCATTTCAATCAAACATTACATGCTCTGTTTCGTCAACATGTGGCAAAAAATACGTGTGTGTTGCAACTACACTCCTTTCAGCATTTGTGGTGAAGCTCCTGTTGAGTAATTGCTATTTTGGTTGTATAGCGATGTGATAGCATTGCATTTGACAGTTGATAGAGAGCAGGGAAGCGTTAAGTAGACAGTGGTGGAGTGGGGTCCATCTGTGAGGGGGAACAGAGAGCTGAGGCAGAGTGTGAGGCAGCCCCTCAGGGCCCCCAGGCAACTCAAACAGCATTAGCAAGAGGTGTCCCTGCCTTTACCGCAGCTTTCACGCCTCACTCCTCTTCCAACGCAAATCAGAGGCAACACAAGTTGTCCATTTGGGATATTGAGTCGATATGGAGATAAAGCCTGCACTTATGAGCCATGGTCATCAAAAAGATCAGCAAGGGACCCACAGCCTGTTTATCTGTCTCTAACATTAGTGTGAGCAATTGTCGCTGCAGGTGGCATGAAATATTAAAAGGTTAACCTCGTTTTGCTAACTGACCAGAGCCAAGTCGTCACATGTCCTCAGGTTGTGTGAGGCCTCTGACTTATTGATTGTCCTCTCTTTAAATGTTTACAGTTGGGATGTATCATTCAAAATCTCCCCTCAGGGGCTTGTTTCTCACCTTATTAACTACGAGCTCTTTATATCGTTTGTTTAAAGGTCCCATGTCATGGCCATTTCTACTGATCATATTTCCATTGTTGAGGTCTACTAGAATAGATTTAAATTGTGCAATTTTCCAAAATCACATTGGTTTCTCATACAGCATCTCTGTATAGTATGTGTATTCACCAGGTATTCACTCTCTGTCCTAAACGGCTTGTTGGAGGAGCTCCTGCCCCCCCCTCCCTGTGAGCCCAGTGTGCTCTGATTGGTCGGGACGTTGCGAGGCTCGTTGCGAGGCTCGTTGCGAGGCTCGTTGCGACGCTCGTTGCGACGCTCGTTGCGAGGCTCGTTGCGAGGCTCGTTGCTGCTCGCCGCTGCTGCGAGGAGCGGACAGGTTTCCGGGTTGGCGATACAGCGAGAACAAGCGAAACTCATCCTGAGCACACACAAACACTCACAGCCGAAGTAAAAACAATAAGTGTGGCTTGATATTGAGTAAGAAAAAGGTTTATAACGCTGTGAGAATGGGTCTGCGGAGAGCATTTCTCCGCGATCCCAACTCGTCTATTACCAGCGTTCAGGGAGCTCTATGCAAGTCAATGGGACTCCCTGTTAGTTAGCCAAGGGATCCTGGTGTGTGAGGTGCTCCGTGGATTGGTCCATTTGGGCCAATCCGGTCATTTGTTGTTGATCTGGGTGTTCACACGTCACAGAACCCAGGAAGCAAACAATGGAAAATGAGAAATCTCCAACGAGGCGTTTTGGGGCAGCATGTAGACAGGTCTTTTCTGTGTTAGAGGTTTACTCGCTACAGGGTGTACTTTGAGGGTTTTTGACTCTGCACACCGTTTACATGCATAAAAACCTTCATAACACACAAGGGGACGGGTAATAACCGGAAAAGCATGACATGGGCCTTTTAAAAGGATAGATTGTTTTATTTTTAGCAACTGCACATCGGCAGTTAATGAGGTTTTATTTTCGTTAGCATTAGATTTGAATTGTTTGTGCTGTTTCTCACTTGTGCAAGTAACCAGTGACTCAGCCTGTCCCTATGAAATCACAGTCTTATGGTCAATGTAGATGGATAGAGGGATGGATATAGTGCTAATGAAAAATAAAGAACATTAAATATTCTTAAATGTAGTTTAAAGATTTAAAAAAAACAGAACCAGATATTTTTAAACTACCAAACATTTTTGAAGGGCATGTTTCTACCCTCTATAGAATTTGGAGGCACGGATGTGATTCACAGCGTTCACTGCTGGCAGAAACTCAGCAGTGCTTCGAGCTGCCAGCCACGTGACCGGCTGGGAAGCGGTGATGGGTCTGATGGTTTTGGAGTGAGTGGCAGCTGAGGCGGGCGGGGTGGAGGGGCTGCGAAAAGAGTAAGCAAAATGGGGGGGCTGTGTTTTGAGGGAGGCGTTGGTGGGCAGTAGTTTGGGATGTGTGAGGAACAACAGCGTTGCTCCTGTGCGTCTGCTCCCTGACACTTCCCTAATCTGATAACGGATGAGGACAGGTTGCCTTCGTTGTACCTGGCAAGTACCTTCCCCAACCTGCACAGGCGGATTTCGGCGGATAAGGCCAGGCTTGGCAAATGCTGGCATCCTCTGGAGAATAGTTAAAGGGTGATTAATCATTGTTTAGGCGAGGAATGTGCGGGGAAGAATGGGAAAGCGGCGTTTCACACCTCTGAAGCAATTAATCCCTGTGATCTCTACCGGGTTTGTCTTGTAGATAAGTCAGGATACAAAACTGTTCCTAATTTATCAACCCACTCATGCCATCCAGCATAAAACACACCATTTATTTCCAATCATTTATAGTCAAATTTTAAAAAGAGTGACTTTGCCACATCCAAGAGTGCCTTATATTAGCTTCATATAAACTAAGTACCCCAGATTACAATGGGAATCTTGTTTTATTGTGCACATCTGGTGGAGTCACAATGCATTTTCACATTCGCTGTCTGAATTTTTGAGTGATTGTGGCATAAATCATTTTGCTAATCAGAAACATAAGTGACATGAAGGCATCTCCCCTCTTGGAACAAAGGAACAACATATGGCTCTAAAAGCACTCAGGTCTTTTATTTCCAAGGTATATAACCTGTGCATAAACCAATATTATTGAACTAATTTGCATTTTTCTTTCATTCCGGGCTCTTTTTCAGAACTCATATCTTTGCAGATGACTTCAATAATGGATAAGAAAAGCATTGCTTCCTCGTTATATATTTGATTCTCAACTTGAGTGCAGTTAAGCAAAACATAAGACTCGGCTCAATGGTTTGTTGCAAGGTGAATTATGGCAATGTACTCTGTGGTTTGAAGTAAACGTAGACCAGCGCATGCATGATAGCTTTATGTAAATACGCGAGCCACCGCGAAAAGCAGAGTTCCTCCCTCTAATAAACGGCATTAACAGATGAACCAAAAACGACACTGATATGACAAGATGAATTCCTTTATTATGAGTGGGTTCTCTCTGGATCTCTCTGCATTGCTTCCAAATCATATTTGCCTCCTAAAATGGGAGGGGGGGGGGGACACACATTCCTGCCAATAATAGTAAAATGGCTCCTGTTTTAATTGCATCATTACGTACCCAATATCAGCAGCCTGCCTGCCAATATCAATATTGCCATAACATGGGTGGAATATAGATGACCCAGGGTATGCGTGGGTCTTCCATGAGTGCCTCCATGCCAGACTCATCCCAATGCCCGCTGTGCAGGGAATGGGAATGTAGGCCGGATAGCAGCTCGTCTTCCTAATGTCCCCCCGTATTCCCTTAATTGCTGACGGATCTTGTTTGGATTTTGATGGCGGCTTGGATTCTGTGGTTGCTACACATAGGAATTGATAGGCCTTGAGGGAAACATCACGTTACCCACTATGTGTGTGTGTGTTTGCATGTCTGCGTGTGCATCCGTATCTGTGTGTCTACATCTGTTGGTCTGCACGTGCAAAGATCAAATCTATTGTAAAATCAAGAGGCGGAGGGCTTTGCATAATGCATTCGTGCATTAGGATGATGTAACTAATATAAATGGTGGTCAGTGGGGTCAAGTAGGCTGCATGAGGATACACCGAGCAGATGTTTAACTGATGGTGAGAACACACAGGTTCTTCTAAACATGCTTTTACTGGCGTGCAGAAAGAGCAAACACTTCTATAGACCGGAGATAGGTAGAAATAAAGGCTGTTTTGCATTTTAATCCAGCAACACTGCACATATGGCACGGAAGAAAACTTAACAATTAGTTACTGCTTTGATGAAGGAAGATTACATCTTGTAGGTCCCACTTCGAATGCACTTCACATATTCATATTAATGCATTCAGGACTGGAGTGAAAGATAATTTTCCTGTTTAAATATTTTATTCTAGTTTAAAACTTAACCCGTAATTAGAGCTCCCTAATGGCAAGAGAATCCAGTTTGTCCGTTTTAATTAGATTGTTGTTTAACTATTAATTATGTATCTTTGTGTCATATAGTTTTGATGCTACCAGATGGTGCAATGGTTGGTGCGCAGGAATGGGTGATGATTTATTTACCTGCACTCTGTTAGTAAGATCTATACTTACATTATGTTTCCACTGTAGCTTATGACAGAATATGATAAGAGAAGATGTACAATATATACATGAAGCATTCTGTACAAATAGAACAATTATTTTCATTATTAAGGATTTTCCACTTAAATATTTCTTTGGTTTATAACTTTTTTTAATTTAGTTTGAACAACCTTTCAAAAATCTAATATTGTAAAATGTAAATGGTATAAAAAAAACAATAAATCATCTTATTAGAAAAGCTAGAACAAGGGGAATTGTGTATACACTTTAAATGCCATTAAAGATTTGTTAACCATAGTGATTTTAGCTCTAGATATTTATTTTCAGAAATATCATTCAACACATATTCATTCGCAGCATGGTGTTCAATATGGTGTTAAAATGCTTTTATCCCAGCCCTCTGATGCACCACTGCACAGTGAGGTGCAGTGTATTGGATTAGTTAAAAATGAGGGTTGTTAACGTGGTTCTAAGACTTGAAAACAAAGAAAAAATGTCTTGAACGATATCAAATAATAAATAAATAGTAAACACTATTGTCTTAATTAAACTTTATATCTATGTTTTGTAGCTAAAACAGGGACCGACTCATAAAAACAATTGCAACATCATGGTGCTGGAGGTCAAAACTCATCAGGGTGCCTTTAATTGAATAGTTCACGCATGTTTGAGTTGATTGTTGCACACATTGTTTGATTCATGATTTGGTCATAATTATTTATAGTTTATTTATAGTTTAGTTGTACATGCTGTGCTGGCACAACATTAATTTGAATTAATTGTATTAATTAAATGAATGGCCGCGCAGCATTGTTGTGTTTTGTTTAGTATTACCTTTGATATTACAAGAGTCATATAATACATTAATTGGTTTTACTGTAGAGAGCTTATTGAGTTTACATGTATGTGAAAATGATACACTCTCACAGTATCAAAATAAAGATAACTTCATTGTGCAGCTTTTGTTTCCTTTTTAGGGGGGATTTTTGTAACAAACATATTAACATTTGAAGCTTTACAAAGCAGTGATTTATTTTTTTGCAGCATGAGTGACCTGAGCGAGAGTCAAACTCAACCTGGCAGCGTTGTTGTGATGCTCTACTGGGGAAGGGCACATCAACTTCACGCTCTGCTGAACTTTTGACCTTTTTTAACACTCTGTCAACAACTACATGAGACGTGAGTTTTCATTCAAAGTTGAGTCATGTTTGCATTTGTGTCGGCCTGTTTTGTTGCACCCGGTTTGACTCTGGGCTGTATATTTGGCTGGCTGTTATTTGTTTTGTCTCCTGATGATGGGGGCCTGTGATTGATGGACGGGATCCAGGACATCTCCGATCGACAGCTGTTGATAGCTCTGAAATCGAGAGCAGCAGTCGGAGCGTAACAATGAGCTCATTGCGCTCTTGGCTTGGTCGCCAGCCCTGCAAACCCCAGCACTAGGGGGACTTCATGAATTTCAACTGGGGCCACAAATGTGAGTGCACATGAAAATTGTGCTGGGGTGAAGGGAAAGGGACTAAACGAGGAATATAGCCCTGATTATCTAGAAGTTAAAGAAATAATGAAAACTCAATACATCACGTGAGCAGCACAGTTTTCCTTGAACACAAACATAATTGTGTTAAGTTCAATTGAAGTCTTTCCTGCATGTAATAAAGCTTAAAGGACAATTTCCACTGAAAGACTTGGTTCTTAAATTCAGGAAAACTATGATCTAAAAGATGCGAGTACACTTAAGTGTTGCCTCGTCAAATCAAAAGGTCCATAGCTTTCAGTGATAATGTATGTGTGGGGCTTGTTCTGGTCTGCAGTGAAACAGGTGATGGTTGTGACTGTCGTGGGAAGGCCTGTTAGCAGTGACATGCGAGGAAGGAGTTTTATTAAAATAATTCCTCACGTTGGTGGAATGCCTCGTTGTAGTGACACCAGCACATTGTCAATCACAACTCAACAATAGCATTCATACAGACTGCCGTGATTCAGATTTATTAATTTGGTGGCTATTGTTGGAAATCGTCCTGTTTGCAGCCGATGAAACTGAAAGAAAGTAACTCGCAGCAGATAGGGTGTTATCCAATGTATGCACTGTAGGTTAATGGAAAAGGTTAAGGAGTACATGTAAGAATGAAGCATTGCTCCATATTGTGTTTTGTCTTATAGCCACCCATACTTCAGCTTTAATTGGGCAGCATCATGCTGTAATAAGCTGTGGTTGCATGGGTTTGATGCCCGAGCCCTCTGAGGTTACCAAAGCACCGGCACCACATCTGAGCTCAAATTAGCATTCTGGGCAAGCATAACTCCCCAAGCTTAATTAAGGTAAATTCAACATTGTAGTTCATCATCGGGTTTTATACAATCTTAAAACCAGTTGCGCTTGTTTGGCAGCTGTTTATTTCTTATATTAAAAAAGAAAACATTACACTGTAGATGATTTGGCATCCCAGGATTTTGAATTTGAGCCCTCTATTATGGGAAATCTGGGTTTGCGCAATGATTAAATGCTTAATAAAAAATTCATTGTTGTTGCCAACATCTGTATTGTATGGGCTAACGGCTCACTGGAGTGTGCGAAACTTGTAAAGTTTCCAAAAGCGCTGCTGAGAACCCTGGAAAGTTCACCTAAGAGTTTGCCTTCCTCATTACCAAGCTACTTCTGTGTGTGCGATTAGACTGAGAACATCTTTAATTGCTTTAAAATCTGAATGCATGATAAGAATGGATTAATTTGATTTTGCTGTTCCTACAAGTAGCAGATGGTTTATGTCTTCAGAATGCTCATGTTGTAAAATGAGATCCCCAGCTTGTCTCTGATTGGTCACTGTTAATGAAGCATGCTGGGCTGATTATTGATTTAGAAAATGAGGACGACACAAGTATTGTGTGTGTTGCTGTGATAAATTAAAGACAAGCGTTGTTTTATTGTTGACAGACAGACACGTACCTTAAATAACACAAAATATTTGATTTTCCATTCAGGTGTTCTCTGGCCCGTCAAAGTAATTGTATTGTTTATTTTAAAACAGGCACTTTTATAGTTGCCACTAACAAGCAGATGGTCGACTTGACTTATTTGTGTTTTGTGTTTCTGAATGACCGATCAGATGCATGATGGGAAATGCAATGAGCTGCTTGTCAGGGAAGAGACAATTCACGGGAGAGGCCCCGCGAAAGCTGTATACATTCCCAATTTACTCGCATCTCTGCGGTTTTTAAGGTTAGTAATTTTTTTTTGCATTATTATTGGCTGTTGCGAGAGCAGCTGTTCCCCAGCCTCCTCCCGAATTACCATCCGCACACTGACAGGCAGGCAGCTGATGGGGAAACTCACTGTGTGCATGAGGTGATCCAATTCAGCAATGAAACTAATGTGCTGCATCAAGGGGGAGATGTGGCGGCCCTGGAGGAAGAGGAGGAGTCAAAGGTTCAAACACAGTCTCGGGAGCAGCTTGGACTGATGAACATCCCTGTTGTTCTGTTGTTCTGTTGTTCCAGTTCTTGCCTTTATTATGTATTTGTTTATTCATTTATCTATCTATCTGTCTGTCTGTCTATATGTCTATCTATCTATTTCTATGTAGTATTTATTAAATGGTTTATTAATTTAGCTCCCAATACACTACCTTCTTATCTTTGCAGCAGATTCCAAACATGCACCCTTCTGCTCTCTGGTTTTATAAAAGGAAAAGACAATACAGATACATTTTTGATGTTTGTAGGTACTATGAGGGGTGGGGACAAAATAATGGACACATTTAATTACTATAACACAAAAATTAAGTATTTTGTTGTGTTAGGGGTCTCGGATACGTCAACATAATTATAGACAGTGTATGTGGACCATGAGGGTCTTTTGGCAATTTAGGGTCTGAGGGAGTACAAACGATGAAGTAAAGCCAAAATCAACACACAGAAACAACAAACAATACATTCCTGACAAATTAGGGTACACATTAATACAAAAATCATATAAATCAAATATTGTTATTTTCTAGCCAAAAAGGTTCATGTACTGTTGATGACTTTTGTCTTAAAGCGACATAACTTGAACATATTTGTTGTTATAACTGTTAATATCTATACTGCATATCCTCTGATCCTGGTCAGCCACTAATAGAAGAGCCGGAGAGGTCATTTCATTGTAAAGTGAACTGAGGACAGAATATGATGTGAGTACTTGCATTATTCACAAAGTAGCAGCAGTGGATTCCGTTCAAACCCCCCCACTGTGCTCCGTTTCCAGACATGCAGGCCTGAAGTTTGTCCAGCGCAGTGAGCTCCTTTGAGCATAACAACAAAGTGCTCATCGCCTATTTGCTGCTGAGGTCTTATGTTCACGTCTACTTCTATTGACATGCAGTGCAAACATTTATAATTACCGTTAGCTCTGTGATATCAGCCTGCCTTGAATAACCTGCTGTGGCATTTTACCACCTGTTACTAATCGCTCTGTGAATTCGTCACGGCACCGGCAATGATTCAAACCAACACTGGGCGCCCCATAAGACCCTCCAGGAAACGTATAGCAACCGGCAGCAGAGCAGCGTTCAGAGAGCCGGGGGAGCGACTTCATGGATGTTTTGCATCATTAACTATTTATGAGTTGCCACTTCATGTTATTTACACTGGACTGATGGTAATGCTGTTCAGAGCTCAAACGCCATACCCGCTGGGGTAGCTGGGTGGAGGGTGCAACGGGAGGCGAAGGCATGTGTGAATCTGTTAAATATTGTACGTAAACGCCACCTGCAGCTGTGAACGAGGCGCAGGGTAAAAAGGGCGACTTGAGAGCAACTCTTGGGGGACAAAGAAACTCGGCAGACTGCAGACAGGACACACTATGTTACTATATAATGTATAAGTCAAAGCCCTGCCACAAGCCACAAGGAATATTCAGTTGACCTGGTTTATCTTTAGCTTTAACCCACAAGAGCTGATTGCATCACCATTTGCAGTAAATGTGTCATAGCTGAAGATAGATTATGCATCATCTGCTTCTGCACTTTCAAGTCTGTGGAACTGCTAGTTTTCCATCTAATCTATCTATCTATCTATCTATTCGATGGCACACAAAGAATTGTTAGGATCTCGCATATCTGTTTTAAATGGGCATTGTTGGTCTATGTACCTGACTTAATATTCATGTCTCTACCTTACTCTCTCTTTCTCTCTTTGAAATTGAAAGGCAAATAAACAATATGTGCAGTTAAGTAGAAATGTATCAACAAGGAAACGTGTCAAAATCAGTTTTGCAACATGGCATGCAAACTGTAAATAAAACACTTGGAATGTCCAATCAGACAAACAGCTGTCATACACTCAGTGCAGATGCTCAAAGAGAAACGGCTGGACCTGTCAGAGTTAAATGTAGGTACTGAAGTTGAGTTATTCTTGAACCACTTCAAAGAAAAGTCAAGCAGCACGGTTGAACAAAAACAGTACATTTCGGTTGATATGATGAGCAACGGCGTCCTTGGATTTGCGTCAAAACTGTTGCTTCGAACACTGAGGGACTTCTTGTTGCCAGGAAACATTTGATATGATTTTTTCAATTTTGTTGATAACTGCTGGGAGTGTTGCCCATCTACACTGTTTTAGTTTATCAGCACCCCGAGGCTTTTATATAGGTTGCCAGGAGGGATATCATCTTTGTGACTGTAGGATTTTCATTAGGTCCCTGTTTGTTGTTCAGTTTGCCTGTGGCTTTAGTTTTTATGGACATGTTTCTGCTCTTTCTCTGCCCATTTGTTACCATAGTTTTATTGGATGATTACTTTCAAATTCCTCCAATAGGTTGAAATGTGTTTGGTTGTTTAATAAAAGATTGGATTTCGTGTTTTACAGGGGTTAGATTTTTCAATTGTGCACATTCACACACAAACTCAGTCTTTACAGGTAAATTAACCTTATTTACCTGTAAGGTAATTATTATATGTACAGCACTTTGGCTCAACCAAAAATCGTTTTAAAAATGTGCTATATAAATAAAACTTGATTTGATTTGATTTGATAGCTGTCACTAAAATCAGTGGTTGTTTTCCTGTTGTAAGGTTGATTTATCATGAAAATCATCAGCAATGGAAATCGAACTGTAGTTAAAGATTGAACTGTGCATCTTTTGTGGACATTAGTAAATTCATGTGACATATCAAACCGGTATTTATAACAAATTAAGATCATATTGGTTGTCACAATATATATCTGATAACGATGTTCAATCCAGGAGGTAATGCTCCCTTTAAATCTGATTGAATCAGCCATGTTTACCATCTCGTCTTTAATTGTGTCTGTCTGCTGTTTGGTAGACGAGCAGGTACATCGTTTACAGTCGGTTTCAGAGCATTTTTGCCGTAAGACAATCACTGCTGCGGGCAATAACATCTCTATGAGAGCCGTGAGAGTGAACTGAAACACTGTGAAGGTGCAGGCCGGACAGATTAACAATGAGTTGAAACTCACTGAGCTCTTTAAAGCCGAGGGGAGCTGCAGATGCGGATAATAATCCTCTGAAGGATTATCACAATGAGCAAACCCTATCACATCGTCATTTGATACAATGTTATCATAAAAATATTGATTGCAGCTGCTTTTATTGAAATAGATATTCCAGTTTTGTCCAGTCTCTACAAATACAAAAACCAGTAAGCTGTAGCCTTATAAATGTCTCAATAGCTGTACTGAACAGTGAGAACATCAGGCTCTTTATGGTGAGAAACTGTGTAGACTGAGTCTCTTAAAATGGGTTTCTGTTTGCAGAGGAATTAGTGTTTTCTTTAAAACGACATATTGTAATTTCACCAGTCCAGGTTTTGCTGGAGGGTGAATTTGTTCCACGCATAAATGTGTTGCTTATTAAAAAGATACACAGCATCCTCAGTGATCAGCAGCGTCATGCTAGGTCTGAGTCACTTCCCATCAAATTTATAGAGATGAATGCAGAACACGGTGTCTTCTATCCAAATATCCCATGCTTGTATCCACTCGTACTCACCTGCATCCTCTTGATAATGTTGCCTTCACTGCCTATGAGGGCCTTGATGTTGGCTCATTAAATACCCTTTTCAGACAGTTATTTGTACTCTTTTAGCTCACAGTTTGGAGCCATGCATGAATACTGCCTGGGTCTCACCCGTGGAGCTAAAGCAGCATAGATTTGTTCATGATCCCCTCATTTGCCCATTGCTATCATCTAAATAACATAAAACAGGCTGTAATTTGACCAGTGTGATTTGGGCTGGTGCTCTTTTGCAACAACAACCCAGAGCCATTGTAGTGCGATGTTGACTGCCTAATCCAGCGCCAGACAGAATTCCCTTTGAACTCGCCTGATTGCGAGGCTAATTTGTATTAAGTAAGTGCACACCATAAACAGACTTTGGAGCTCACATTATTTGTGGCAGTCACTGAAGCTTCAAGGCGTCGTTGTGACTAGCGGAGCCCAAGGGCTCAAATTACAAACTCTCTCCACTAGCACGCCTATAATTAGCCCGAAATTAACAATAAATGTTTGCTTTAGTTGAATTATTCAAAACATTTATTTCGCTTGTAAAGCTTAGATCAAATTGTTGTTTTAAATGCACTTTTTTTCAATGTCAAATGCAGAAGCTTTTGGTCTTTCTGTTGCTTTTGACTGCAGGCGTGTCTTGTTATAGACAGATTGTGTCAGAATTATTCAATATTTAAAAAAACTGCTGGATCATGAACAACTTCATTATTTATTTACCTTACTATTTTTGTAGTACAGTACAGGGACCAACTACAAACTCAAGTAGACAGATTTCCAAAAGGTCATTATTTTGGGGCTTTGATAAACACAGATAAAAAGCCCTGTTTCTTTAGCAACAGTTATTTTTTCCCTTTTATTAAAAGAAGCCTCTCGCGAAGAGAAACTGTTACACCCTGCAGTTTGAAGGTGTTTCCATATCGAACAGAAAGCTTATTGCTATGTGACATTAACTGTTACCTAGCAAGCACACACTGGACAGTTGTGTGTAAAGTTTGGCCGTGTGATTGTTTTTGAGATATCTCAGATTCTGACTAATCTCAGACTTAATAAGCAACTCTAGTTATCCACTTTTTTTATTTGAAGGTATTACTTTCTGTTGCCGGCCCTCAATTTTTAAAAAGCGCAGAGTTGTTTAAGTGTAGTCTGAAATAATCTTCCAATGCATGAACACAATAACAACAAATCACTACCTTTTTAGTTGTTGCCGTGAA